AAAAAAGGAAAAAGTCAAAATTGTTGCATGTAAATGAAGTCATCCCGAGCACTGTAAAATGTTTGTTGTTTGATACCAGGAAGTGGAGAATGTGCACGAATCCATGAAAATCTTGATTAAAACAGATTGAAACCATAATCCATGGATGTTCAGAGAATCATTTAAATTTAACAATTAATTTAGTTTGTTCTTTTCACCATCCACCTTTGAATCTGTTGCAATGCGTATACCATTTCTGGCATTATGCTATCGTTGCTACTGCATGTCTCATTCACTACTACAATATTTATATTTCACTTACATTTGCGTGGAAACCTTTGACTTGTTTAAAAAAATAATCTTTAGTATATCACACAGGAAATCTGAATAATTTGGAACCAGCCATGTGGTCTCGCAACGCAATCTTCATACCTTTAACCCCAATTTTTGTAGATAAGGAAATACCTTTACTGCAGAAAAAGTGTTGATGAAATTGAAGGAGAAAAACCTGCACTGCTAAGGCAAGAGGAGAAAGTGAATAACATTGTCTGAAGGAAGCCAGAAGACGTGCAGCTTTTTAAAACTCTCTCTTTAAGTTACCCTCTCACTAATTCGGCATAAGTGCCCTTCAGATATCAGCTCAGGATACTCAGTTCACGGCTCTCAGTTATCACACAATGACTCTCAAACCTTCCCAAATCATGTCTATTTATTCTGAATGTAACGGTTCCCTCTACCTGATGTTTCTGGTACTGCATGGAGATGTCATTTATCTGTTTGCCATCCGTTCTGTCCATATTTACCAACAAAGGAGTAGGGAACATTATTCTTCAACTTTTGTCACTCTTGTAGATTTAATGGTACATATTTAAGGGATTAACAGCTTGTAGCATGTGAAGGGTGTTAGATGTACACCATGATATCCTTGGGTATGGTTTTTTCTTTTTCTTATGAAGTCATGAAATCTAAGCCACAAGGTCCTGGTCTGGTTAGACAGAGTAATGGAAAACTCTATAATGCAACTCTATAAATAAAAAAAATAAACAAAAACCAAGCATACACACTCAGTATTGCAAACTGTTTATTTGTAGTAAATGGAAAGTGTGCCATTCAGTGAGAGAGGGAGAAAGAGGGCTGGGCAGTTGGGGACGGTTGATGTCTTTGGTCCATACTCTGGTGGAGGGGACTTTGATAAATCAGTGGGAAAAGAGAAAAAGGCACTTGAGTTTACAGTTGTCTCAGAAAGGTTTTTGAGAAGATGGACAAAGGGTTTACTGGAAGAAATTAATGAACTTTATGTTTTAACCTCCATTAGGCCTAATATGAATATCACATACAAAATGCCCTATGTGAGCACAAATTATATACCTACATATGTATATACAGTAAGGAAACAAATAAAGGATTGAAAAAAAAAAAAGAATGTGAATTGTTTGATTTATCCCAGTGGGAATTCTTTACAGGCAGAGGAAAAGAAGAAAAAAAAACAGGCAGAAAAGTTGCAGAGGACGATAGTTTCTTTGGCGATAACTTAATATCCCTACAGTTAGGAATGTAAAACAAAGGGTGGTTGAAGGAAGGCAGACAACTTTGCAGATGAGATAATTAATGAATTGTTTAGCATTTGTCCTGCAGCTTTAAATCACTTCAAACCGCAGCCCGTCGATGATGAGCTGGCTCAGATTTTGGTACAACTTCAGTCTATACAGATCTTTGTGATGATATAACCCCCCTACCAGCTGTGCATGCACTTAAAAGGAAACATTTTGGGAAATGCGCTCGCCGTCTTATGGAGTGTCCAGCAAGTTTGGATGAGAAGAGCAATTGCCTATCTGAACAGGGTTAGCTTTGCTTAGCATAGGCCAGTCTGGCTTTATCCAGCTGTAACACAATGCACCTAATCAGCACATCCGACGCCCATAAATCACATTAAATGTTTTGAAGATTTATTTTTTTAAATTTACATGTGACTATTTTGCAGGGTCAGGCTGCGTGCCAGAGGACCATATTCAAAAGGGGTGAATTTGTTCCCGAATTAAAGATTTACAACATTTGTAAAAAACAATAACTTTAGATTCATAACTTTACTGCATTTAACGATTCTAGTTTGTTACTTTACACAGCTGCAATAGGATAGCTCACAAGCAGTGTGACAGATGCATCCAGTGACTCTGTTATTGCAGCTGTGACTTCTGTTATTGAGGTGCTTAGCAGACAATTTAGTTACACTGGAAATGAAAAGTTTTTTACTGTAGTCTAGGATGGATACAAGTAAAAATAAAACAAAAAAAACCCCCCAAAACAATAAAACCCAAACCACAACAAAAGAAAAAAAACAAAAAAAACAAAAAAACAAACCACAACACCTGAGAGCTGCTTTTAAACAGACGGGTGGTTCATTACTGCCCTCCTGAGACCAGAAAACTGGAAACACTCATTGCAACTACTGCTGCTGCACAGGGCCACAGTTGCAGTGGTTGTTTATTTTTCCACCCAGTGGTCCCAAGGAGCAAGAATGGAAATATCATCGAAAAGACACAGAAGCAACCTTAATGCTGTAATAAAAGTAAAAAAAAAAAAAAGCACTCGGCATGAAAAGCAAAAACTGCTAGTTTTTTCTCTTTCTGAAGCAGCTGTCTTAAAAGAAAAAAAAAAAACAAGAAACCCACAATCTGGGCCCGTTTAATGTGAAAGGAATCTACCCAATTCCTGGCTTGATGCCAGACCAAGCTAACTCATTGTTCCAGATAGTTTTGTCTTACTACAAGCTAAAAGCTCATTTCCCATAACGCTAAATCATCCTTTCAAGACAAGCTAGAAAACATTTACCAAAGTTCAGAAACCAGTTTGCATTCTTTTCTACACAAATACTCACTAATTTAACTACTTACGTAAAGAGTGTTAATCTCAATGGGGCAGGAAAAAAAAAGCTCCATATGCCCAGAAACTCTTTTAAGAACCAAAAACCCCCCCTTTAAAAAAAAAAAAAAAAAAAAAAAAACTGCTCAAAGGAAGACAATATGTTATGAAGAAGATGCAGCAATAATGTAACAACCGATTTTCCACTTTCATATGTACATTAACTACAGGATTATAAAAGGAGGAATCACCAGGGGGTCCATGTCCCAAACTAAGAGCCCACTGTGAGAGAATGACTTCGAAACGGGTAGTGTCGAAGGATGAGCGACAAGGTACTCGCCAGCCTTTTGTTCACAAACTGGACACTACGATGAGATTGAGCCCCAACAGCAGCAGCTACTTGGCAGGAAAAAAAAAAAAAAAAAAAGATCTAAGAAATCAATACAACCCTCTAATGCATTCATCAGTTTACTCAATTTTACTTCCATAGATGCACAGAGTGGACATAAAAAGAAGAGCCAACTGACGCTAGATATCGACATATCAGCCAATACCCCCCCCCACACACACAGACACACACACAGAGAATATGGGATCTACTGAAATTGAAAATACTGGGATCATTATTACGTTTCCAGTAATGTATTTCACAAACTAGGTCGTAACTTAATGTGAAGACACTTCTCGACTCCACACCTCCATCTTCTCAGTGGTGCAGCAGGCACTGCTGAGAGTTTTGTAAACAATGGAGTCACACTGCTGGACAAACTTTTAATTCTAGTACCCCAAGCATCTTTTTTCTGCATTATGTTGTTAAAAAAAAAAAAAAAAAAAAGAGTTTCTGTATCACACAGCATACATGCCAATATCCATAAATCAGTGAATGGCTGATATCTATATCAGTCAGGCAGGAAAAGGGGAAGAATAGATCCTACACTTTGTTTTTGCACATATTCATAAATCACATATCTGCTCTATGAGTACCGTCTGTTTACAAAGCCATCATGATGCAGACATCCATGTTTCTAGAAAGGCAAATGTGAAGTCTGTGACTAAAGGCAAGCACGACATTAATATGCCATTCGTGTGCATATAACAAGAAAAACACAAAGAACAAACGGCCTGTGAATAAATGTTCAGAACTATGAAAAAGCATGTGCACCACAAAGGACTTTTCCTTTGTTGAGAGTTTTTACATATTTAACATTATTCTACAAAAGGTAATGAGCCCTCTTTGTTATAAAACAATGGACAGCTAGCTAAGAAAAAACAAAAAACAGCACACATGATAACTCCGGCGGCCAGTGGGAGGGCGATACATCACTGCCTTAGGCAATATTAAAAAGGAGTAGTTTGACATTTGACACTGGGATAGGCACTTATCACGTCCATGCAGTCAGATGAGAAGGTAGATAACACACTTGTGCTTACATTAAATAAGGAACTACAAGCAGCAGCCAATCAGTTCAGCATTAAAGCCAGAAATGAGTAACAGCTAGCCTCAAACTTAACCCCCCAGAAAAATCCCAGTTTTGTGCAAAACCCCAGAAAAGATTGTGTGAATTAGTGAATTTAGAGGTGCAGTTTGCCACATTAAGACAGCCAAAGCAGTTACTCTCCTTCTGCAGCCTTCACACCAAGCTAATCTAATCAGCTGCCAGATTCATATTTAGTGTACACGTGTGTTAATCTACTTATGCAACTCAGAGCAAAGAGTGAGGGAAAGCGCACTGACAAATGTTAAACTACTCCTTTCAAAAGGGTAACATCTGTGTCCACAGTGTTACTCTCAATACAGCCAAGTCCTAGCGTTAACAAGTTCCCTACGGTTTGTAGCAGCCGTACAAAAAGCTCTGGATTACAGTTTGATATGTCTCTTTTTTCTTTACCTTGCAATGATTAATGACAGTTTGTAGTGTTGATTGCATGTCTACTCTTCAGAAGTCCCAGCTAATGCTAGAACTGCTTTTACACTTTCACAACGCTTTCCGTGGTGAAGGCATTGAAATGGTTCTGGGAGACAAGCAGAATAATAAGATCTGAGGTTCGAATCAGAGAGCTGACAAAGCCACAGTAAAAATAGAAAAAGTACTAAGAGTTCAACTTCAATAGTGCACAAATTGTTGCAGGTAATCATGTCAGTCTCTGGCAGTCTGCTTTAACTGCAAAAACTAATATCAGAGACTGACGATAGCATGACAGTAAGATCTCTCAAAAGGGGCCTAAAGATAGAAACTGTTAACCGTCATCAGGAGCGAGAAAAGAAAGAGGAAGAGCGATTATAGAACAGTGAGCGCTTTTCAAGTTTGAAGGATGAATTGATTGATGTGGCGAGGCGGCACTACAGCTCAACTGACAGAAATATGTAAACTTGTATTCTATTCTTCATTAAAAGGAGTTAGTAGGTGGGGAGGAGGTGAAGGGTTGGGGAAGGGTATGTGGAGAGAAGGAGGAGTTCAAGGGTTAGTTGATGGGTTTGATTGAGCTTGTGATTTTTTGTTTTTTTAAATGTCAAGGACCATGTGTTCGTGGAACCCTTTGGGGAAGCCCATTGTGAGAGGGTCGGTCTTGGTTGTGAGAGGATGTGGAGGAATGCGAGGGACCTCTTGAGTTGTTAGAGTGCTGTGATGTAGGCCCAGAGGAGGCACCATCATTCTGATGGCGGTGGTTTGCACGACCAGCGTTCCTGTCATTGTAGGAACCACCGTTATACCGTTGACCACCTGTGTGATAACCTTGTCCGTGGAAGGTACGCCTGTTTCCTTGGAAAATCTGAGGGGGAGAGTTTAAAGTTTGTCAGTGAAGTAAACCAGCATTTGGTCTAATGTCTGACAAACTACAGCTTTCCAGCTGACCTGTTTGGCTGGTGGAGGACGGGTTTCACTTGGGTGGTTGCTCTGGATCTGGGTAGGAGCAGGCGTCTCCGGCAGGGTGGGGCTGGCGACAGAAGATGATGTGGAGCTACAGCGGGATCGGTTTGAGTAGCCTGTACGTGGGTGGTAAACTGTGAGAAAATCGACATAGTGAGTCAACACTCAGCGGAAACCTCTGGGGCTCAAAGATGAAGCAAATGCAGAAGTGCCAAAATCTACATTTCCTCTAATGGTTACTTAAAACTAAGTCAATGGCAGCATCAAAAAACACATTTACACCCTGTTATAGAATCTATTTGGGATCTATTAATAGTTTTCCTTTTGAAAAGATATTTAAAGTGACTCATCTTTTTCTAACTGTTGAGACTTACATTTACAGGTGTGTCTTAAAACAGGAAATTGCAGCTAATAGGCCTCACCTATGCCAGTGACAGTCACTGAACTGGACCACTCCACTGTGTTTGTTTTTTGGAGTATTTTAATGGCTTATCTAATTATTAATATGGTTTGCTGTGAGGTTTTTAAAAAAAACAAAACAAACAAACAAAAAAACAAAAAACAAAAAACCCTCCCACAAGTTTATGCCTTAATTTTGGTGAGTGAAATTCTAGTATTTATATTTCTGTACCAGAAATCTGGTTACTATGATTTCGGTTGCTAGTAGATTGCCATGATGGATTTCCAGCTTGTCTGCAAACACTCTGTAAACTTTTCACTGAGCTGTAGTAAAACTTGGAAAAAGTGCAATGTGATTAAAGAAACAGCAGCATTCACCTTCAAAGTAAAAGTTTTGCCTTATCTCCAAACTAGACGTTTCATAAGGAGAAACCTTTGCTTTTCTCTGGGGAGAACATTCAGCTGTTGCACTTCTTAAAGTTTCACTACCACTTGGTGAGTAGTTGTAGAGCATTTTACAGACGTTATACAAATTACAAAAAACTGCAATTTGCACAGTGAAACTGCAACAAACTGCTAGCAACCAAAGTAGTCACGAGGTGGTTTCAGTGCAGCACCTCTTTCTGACTAATTTCACCCACCAACAGCAACCACTTGCCAGCAAGTTAGGCAATACGTTTCCTAGTTACCAGAGGTTGTCAGGTGGTCACCATCTGGTCTTGCACAGGCCTGTGTGACTGGGCTCTAAGGTGACAACTTAACACTGTACCCAATGGTCTAAATATGGCAAATTCTGACAGCACAAAACACAGCAGTAGCAAAAACACCAAGTTGAGTCTTCAAAAGGTGAAATCCAAAACCTGTACGTGAAGTCATGGTGTCTACGTCCCTCTGTTAAATATAGGCTATGGTCAAAAATGGTAAACCAAGCAACCTTTCTCACCAAGCAGAAAAAAAGTGTGCTAATTGCATAAAATAAAGTGTAAAAACTTGTTTTAGACAGATCTACATTAGAGGCATTCTCAGAACCTTAAATAGCATGAAATCACAATTTTTGGGTTAAGATTTTAGAGTCAGATAAGACTGCTTAAAGAGTGCTCTGATTAGCACAGTCACGGTCAAAATAAAAATAAACCAAATGTCTGACATGATGGGACAGCAGCTTCTGCAGACTGGTCCGAGTATGCAGAGACCAAGAAAGAAAAAAAGAACACGAACAAACCTCTTTCTCCCTCATAACAGCCAACTTGACATCCTCCTCTTCAGAGGTTAATTAATAAACAGAGCTGCTAACAATATTATCAAAGCTTCCTTATTGCTCCACTATAGTTTCCAACCATAAAAATAGCGCTCTGCTCATTCAGTACTGCATGCTTGCCATATCATAATAATTACTGCTTTAGTCATTTCTAGCCTGCTGGTCTTGTATTTTGTGATTTAAGGAAAGGTGTGTCCCATTCAAGCGTGAGGCATAGCTGAACACAGGTCAGTAAGAGAAATAAATGAGATGACTTTGATACTATACCTGATCCAAACCCTGCAATGCTCGTCTTCAGCGGTTCAAGATCAAATGTAAATCTTAGAGCTTTTCCAAGGTCCTCATCATATTTACGCTCGCTCACAAAGTGCTGCAAATAAAAAAATAAAAAAATAAAAGTCAGGGAAAAAACCCACCCACGTTGTGTCTCAAAATTTGTTGTTTTCATCTCTACTTTTGTAAGCATAAGTAGGAGAATCTGCCTTGAGTTGTAGATTAATTAAAAATAAACACCAATTTCCCATTCAGTCGGTTATGAAATAAAACACCAAGTCAAACTGAGATACTGAAAGACAGCATCAAAGTGGAGCAGCTGTGCTGTGCAGGTACCTTGATGTCTGCACGCAGTTCAGTGAGCTGCTCCTCTGACATGGATGCCGACTTATCTGTCAGCCGCCGGAGCTCCTCGGCTCTCTTCTGCCGAGCGTCCAAGATCATCACTGAAACGTAGCAGCAAAAATATGAACAGATGTGAAAGAATTTAAGGAGGGTTTTTATTATGCAGTCAAATGTCTGCCTGTATTATGTCTTCCACACATTTAAGCAGAAGTTTAAAAACAGAGCTGCACCTAAAGTGATTCTGAGCTGTTAAACTCTAAACTTTAAATTAGGAGAAAAATTTCAGTTAGTCAAAGTTGGCTGCATTAGTGCTCACTGTGAGACACGTCCAGCAGCCAATTTGGAAATTTGGCAGACAAAATAAGTCTGAGGCCACCCACTACTTTAAAAACTGTGCCTTCTCTTAAAGACAAACTGTCCTGTGTGTTAGGAAGCAAAGACAAGACAGAATTTCCTTTCTTTAAAAAGTAAAAATGATTGAAAATACATTCAAAATCGACCCTCTTCTTTTGCTTAAGTTTAAAATAAAGAGGTCTCGTAATCTTTCAGTTTCATCTAAATACTCATCACTCCGTCAGTTTGTGAAATGCAGCCAATCAAAAGAACAGCATCTTAAAGAGGAAGGGATGGGAACTAAAATAGGTTGTTTCAGGTAATGATAACCTGAGAGACAGCACCAGGGCCCGGTATAAGACAAAAGGGATGATAATGAACAATGACTCATCCAAAGCTGCTCTACTAGAATCAAAGAACAAAATATGAAGCTCAAACTAGAATAATGGGTCGCCCTGCAGAAATATGCAATTGGTCCCCAGTTCAAAGAAAATGACAAAGATTTCAGTTGAGGGCCCATTATGATGGCTGCCAACTGTGACCTCACCACAACCCTGACTCCATTCATACTGGTGCTGAGGTATGGCAGTATTCACCTGCAATACTGTCTTTAACAATAGGCGTCACCACTCACATCTCCACTCACTCTACATAAACGCTGGTCTAAATCTCTGAGCTTCTGCACTAATACAGCTTCTTATTTGATCAACAGTTCCCTTTATCGGTCACCACAACGGACCATCTGCGCACATCCCACCCCCAGCATTCTCTTCTGTGAGAAAAATAACATACCTCTGAAGACATGTCATCTCTTCATATCTTCACCAAACACAAAATTTCTCAGTCCCGTCTCTTTTTCTGTTGTTTGGCAGCTCCATATTGAACATCCTTTCCCCCCCAATATATCTATTATCCCTCCTCTGAACATGCTTAAACTATCTTAGCCTTGCTTTTCTAATTTTCTCTCTAAACTGCTCAATCTGCCCAACCTGGTGGTCACCATCAGTGAAAATCTTACACGCTGCCACTGGTTAGTGCTATCAATTATAGCAGGTGTTCACTACCATCTTGTTAACGTTCTCCTTCACTTTCTGCTATACTTCTGTCACAAATCACCTCTGACATTCTTCTCCACCTACTCCATCCAGTCCACCCTGTTCATTGCTTTGAATGACTCATTACAGGTACCTAAACTTGTCCACCTCTGCTCATTGTATCTTAACTACATCTAATAACTTTCATTTCTCTTTTCTCCAAAGCATAGGCTGAAAACACATACCCACACCTCTCCAGGCTCTCTTCCACCTCACCAGCTTTCTTTAGATCCAAAAAGACAGTGCAAACATTGCATCTGCACTGGCCTTTCTCAGGATGAAGCCATACTGCTCCTTGTTAATTGTCACTAGCCTACTTAATCTAGCTTCAAAAATTCCTTCCCACATCTCTGTGGTATGGCTCACCAGTTTTATCCCTCTGTAGTTATTACTGTTCTGCACATCACCCTTGTTCTTGAAAATCAGTACCAGTACAGTTCCATTCCTCAGGCATGCTCTCACTCTCCAAGATTCTGTTAACCTACTTAATACTACTACTACTACTAATATCATCATCATCATCATCATCATCTACTAACTCCATAGCCCCTTTCTCCTAAATATCTCCATGCCTCCAAAGGTATATCGCCTGATCCAGCTTTCTTTCCACTCATCATCATCTTCTTGGCTGTCCTCACTTCATTCTCATCTGAACTCCCTTACCCAACTTTCCTCCATCCAGCCTCCTCTGTCATTTTCTTCATTCAGAAGGTCTTCAAAGTCCTTCCATCTTCTCAACATAGTCTGCTCACTTGTTAGCACATTTCAATCTCTATCCTTAATCACTTTAACCTTTCCCAATCCTTTCTAGCTTGCTCTCGCTACTTAGTCAATTGATACAAGTCTTTTCCTCTCCTTCCTTAGTGTCCAATCACGGCTGTAAAAGCAACAATCATACATCTGTGTTTTCAACAAGCACATGACATGTCCCACTCAGACTAATCTTAAAGAGGACATCTGAAGCACCCACTGGTCCTTAGCACTACTGATACAGTCCCACAGCCAGGAAAGAGGTTTAACAAATACTTATTTTTTTCTCTATTTGAAACATACAATCTAAAATAAATATACATATATATTATCAGTTGTATCACTTTCTCCTGAAGGAAGAGATTCTTAGAGTAAAGTAACTTTTGAGAAAACCTGGCTTTTGTAACATCGGATGAGGACTAGAGTTTCTTTGCTTTTCTCTCAATTCACCACACGCCTTGCACAAAGACAGCATTGAGTCTCCCTTGACACCTGACACTATTCACTTTTTCCAGGCCTGGAACACACAACACTCTACGCTGAGAGGACAGAATAAGAGAGAATGGCCTAGTTGTACAAATATGAGGCCTACATTGTACGTACACACGCACGCACGCACGCTCTAGGTGTATCAGGACCTTAAGAAAACCCTGCAGTTTAGAAGAAACTGGGACTTGCTGTTCCATAAGATTTCTTTTACAACCTCCAGAAGTGATTTAGGTCAGAGTCTTGGGGCCTTTGAGTCAGGTGATCATATCATGAGAAGAACACAAGCAGCTGCAGGGTGGTATGTGACAAGCATACTGGAAAATACAATACTTACTGGCATCAGCTTTCACTTTGTCCATTTCTGCCAGCAGAGTCACCTCTCTGTCCATTAAACTAGAAAAATAAAGAAAAGAGGGTAAACTTTCTAGAATCTTCTCTAAAACAAGATTGTGCATGCCGACTTTGCACTAATATTGCAGCAAAATACCAATATGGTTAAACAATAAGACCACTGGGGACAGCAGACTTCTGCCAAGGCTGAAAATTCCTCCACACCATGCACAAATTAAGCCAGAAGGATATTGGAATATTGATTAGTTTAATATTTTAAGAACATCAATAATGATTATTTTTATCACTTTAATTCAGCATACATTTATAGAGACACCAAAGGAAATGCACAATTTTGACTCCTCTCATGGTGAAGAATCGTTTCCAAAATTCCTGGATCTAGACTCCAAAAGTTGATTACTTCTAAACTGGACAAAGCTCCACCTCTGGGAAAATATCCATGTAAATCTGTTCATGACTGAGTAATCTTGCTAGACAACAAATAACCCGAACCTGAGAACACAACTGCTGGCATAAACGCTTCAGTCTTGATGGGATAACACATTTACTGGAGTTTGAGCTTTACACTCAGGACATCTCGCTCCGTTCTCTGTAGCATTACAGAGTCAGCCGTTACGTAGATGGCCATCTTGTATGCCTCAAAGGTTGCTGTGACATACTAACGAGCATTAGACTACACCCATGGCAAACTTTGAGTGTCTGAGTAATGATAATAGATGGTATCATCATTACTCATAATAAAACGCACAAAGCAAATATGGAAATTAAAATTCTTGTCCACACTTGTAAATCTAATTATACCGCTTCAGTTTTGTTTCTCAGCTGATGGTTGTTCACAGATTACAAATAAAAGAAAGCCACAATGTAGCTTTTCTTTCTAAAAAGCTGAAATACGACACAGCGGTGCTTAGGATCCATTTTCGACAATAACCAACTACCTGCTTTTGTACCGGCTGCCTCAATACAATCTTCTAGTTTACTGACAATAAAACAAAAAATTTTTTCATGAGTGTTTCACAGAAGTGGAAGTCTTAGCCACGGAATTGAAGTAAGAGCCTCTTAAGAGTTGTAGGTGTTGAACAATAACAAACCGATCTGTCTTTTATCTTTGTTAAAGTGAATAACTGTTAAAAGTTTTATAAGTCAGTGGCAGCAGTGGTCTGGAGCCAAGAGTGGAGCTGAATGGATATCCTCACAGTCAACCACAGCATCAGGTTTCAGCTTTTGAAAGATGAACAATGGCTGCGCTCTATGAGAATTTATAAGGAATACACTTTATCAACGTGCAAATGTTTCAGTTAATCTTTTTGCTTTGCCGAGTTAGACCTAATAACCTGAGGTTTTGTAGACGATACTCTGTAATTGCCAGCTTGGACTAAACCCAGATAATCTTCAACCAATTAGTTATTAGTGAGCTCATAATCTACTGCCAGCTACTTCAGCATTTACTAAAGTCTCATGAGAATGATCACGACAGTCATCTTATCCAGCTGAATTATCAGGGGCTTAACGGGCATGGATTTTTCTTCTTGCTCAGACCAGCAGTACCTATGAAGTTTGTAAGCCATTTAAAGAACACCCTAAAGTAGACAAACCACTAAAACTGGACAATTAAACTGGTTTGTAAATCCAGTTAACATGAACTGTATGCCTAATGTGAAAAAATAAATAAATATTCAACTGCAAGTGTAAATCCAGGGATTAAAGACAAATTACTACAATGAAATAATATGTAAAATATTTAGTTTGTTATTATCTTTAATAAAGTGTTCTAAATCAGTCTTTTTTTCTGCACACACCAGAGGCTCTATGAAAGCAATCCAAGGTTCAACACATGGACCTCTTTTACTATTATGCAAAGTTGCACCACCAAGAAGGACAAAGGTAACTGAGCAGCACCTATAAAAATGCAATAATGTCTGAACTGCTTTAGTGAACATGCAACACAAATCTGAGAAATCAAATTGGAACAAAGATCTATTTTTACATTCTTCTTTGCTTTTCTGAAACAATTTTCTTCTTAATGCATCTCTCGTCACGGTCTATTTAGACTCAAAGATTCTAAATTATTTCAGGGTTGTCTTATGAATATAGAGGCTTGTTGACACTGTCACAGGAGTGACAATTATTTCCTGATTTGTTTCTACTCACTTACTTTAAAAAAAAACAAAAAAAAAAAAACAACAAAAAACCCACTGTGGGTCCTGTTTAGCAAGACAAAGTTTAAAGAAGTTCACACAAAATTAAAAGCAGTGTTTTTACAACTTCAGACATTAATTTTAGATCAAACTACCTGAGACATCTGTAGAGACCAGCAGACTAGCTTTATGATTTTATGTTATTTGGAAGTAGTGTTTATAAATATACTATTAACAGCACAGAATATTGTCAATATAATATCAATATACTTTTTGATTGTTAAATGAAAAAACAATTTTACTTCAACATCAACTGTATGACAACAGGCAGATTTAAAATGAATTCCCATACCAGCTCTGTAGTTCAGCAAATGTCTGCTTCATCCTCTTTACTGAGGAGTCCATCTCCTCCTTGACCACCATCCTGTAGCGAGTCAGTGATGCAGTACATCTCTGCAGGTCCTTCACAGAGCGATCAATGTTGGAAGCTGAGAAGGAGAGAATAAGGAAAAGTTAAGCAAGAGTTTTGGGGCTATGACACATTTGTTTTCATGTTACCTTTGCCCTTGGTTGTGAGGCACAAAGAAACAATATGGATAGAATAAAATGGGCTTCTGGAAATAAGAGCCATGTCTAACCCATCTTCTTTACTCCGGATGATCCTTGCTCATCTGTGTTAGATGCTAATGAGGCAGGGGGATGATGTGAATTTGAGTTTGGCCTTTGTCGTGACTTATTGCCTCTGGGAGCCTGGTGATTTCTTCCTCCTGGCTGAGAGGTGGGACTTGGAGCACTACCTTGACTTTCTGCTTCTGCACCTGTGAGAAAACAAAGTACTTGTCAGGACACAAAGTAAATAATTATAAAACTACCCTCATGTGAAGAAGCAGAATCTATTAGGGACAAGGTTCTTGGTATTTTCTATTTGTAGTACGCTTGTAGCACTTGCTGCACTGGTTTCTGACAGCATTTGAGCATGCTTTGGTTGCATTAAAAATGAAGGGAAATGAGGGATGGCATTCACCAAAGCACACTGAAAGACCTCTGGATATAATTTGATTAAGAATTCTCTTTTTAAGATTTATTTGCATTTGTACCAACGACCAGCACACGGAAACAGTCAAATGGGCCTGAAGAGCTTGTGGCTAAATCATAAATAAAATAAAATAGCAAGTTGCCCACTCAGGCTAAGTCAGCAGACCATGTGGTTCACTTTAAAAGTTAACTCCCCCCACAAAAAAAACTGCCTAGTCACACATTTCAGGAGGACATTTTTAAACCACTAAGATTACAAGTACACACTTCCCCACTGAACTTTGATTTTGAATAGATAACACCAAATTAATTTCTTCAAGTTAAGTAATAAATAACTCTTTACCAGCATGTAGCAACAGGCTCTGCTCTAATCTAAGTTTCATTGATAAAAATCTAATGAGACTTTCACACTGTGTCCTTGGCTCACTTAAGGTGACCTTCCTGCAGTTAAGTCATATAACAAAAATATTTGTCCAGGAACAGATTTACTTTAAAAGGTCAAATAAGGTTCAGGTTGTAAGAGCAGCAATTTGCATGGCCATAAATTACTCTATCCATCCATCACATTTTAGCCGAACAGTTGCATTTACCGGTGGTTTCGGATGTAGCAGGTTCAGAGTCCAGCTCGGCTGCATCCAGGGAGGCAGAGTCCAAGTGTTCACTCAACGAATCAAGAGACTCTCCGTCCATTACTGAGCCGTTGGCATGAAAGCCATTCAGCTCGTCCTTGCCCTCTTCGGGCGATGTGGCCTCAGGTGGAGCAGGTTCTGCTGGGGCTTCTGGCTGAGGTTTGGGCTTCTTTTTCTTCTTGGGCTGAACAGTAGGATATCAGTGTTAGCCTTCTTTTTTTTTTTTTTAAATCATCTTTTTAGTATCAGTGCAGTGATATCAACTAATTCACTGCATGCAGAAAAGAGAAAGCTTTGATTTAAATGAAAATTAAGCTTTTGGCAGAAGAATTTACTAAACAAATCCATGCATTTTAGAACCAATGAGAGCAGATTAAAATGTCATCAATGATTTGAAACTAAATCTTTTACTAAGAAACAGTGACATAAATATGCCAACTCAACAAAGAGATGTTTAAGACGTAGGCTTTGTGGTTCTCACCTTCTTTTTTCCAGTGACATTCCACTCCTTCAGGATCTCAGCTGCACTGCCTGCGGTGTAAACCAAACAATGATGACGAAGGTACACGCTGACACATGGCAGATTGAAAATCTTGTAATACCATCTGAACATATGAATGCCCCGAGGCGTTGTTTAGACACGGCTAACTAAGGAAACAAAAGAGTAGTCTGACGTAGAGACACAACGCTCCTTTGCTATAATTAAACCTGCCAAACCAAAGGCATGCAAATGATACGCAACTACAGAATGCAAAGCATGGCAGGCATGATGGTGAAAACAATTTAAGGTTAAGGACAAAAAAAAAAAAAAAAAGTTCAGTGTACATGTTAACATGTACACTGTAATTACAGGACAGTTCAAAGAAATCATTAAAGGCACAGAATTACAGTGACATTCATGCCCACGACCTGTGTATGTAAACACAACTCTACTTGTGGAGTGAGTGAAGTAAGCTCCATTAAATTACAAATTCACTTTTACAGAAATATCCAGTCACACAACATCACAGTAACTTTCAGAGATTTGGTGTCCTCATACCTTCTAAAAAAGCCTGCACGGCCTTATCGACGCAGTTCTCAAAATGCTGTAACACCAGCACAATCTCATTGTTGCTTTTGTTGGGGACAACCGCCCTGACAGCACTGATCTGTGAAGCATAGTAAACATTAGCACTGACAAGCATAAGGGCCCTCAAACATTTACTGAAAATACACTTTAAGTAAGAAGTGGCTGTAGGACATGAATGCATACTCTTAATAATGCACTATTAATGTAGAAATATACAAAGCTTTCATTTTGGTCAGTGAAAGAATGACACTCCATGGTAACTTTAGTCAATACAACTGTTCGACTGGTTCGAAAATTCGACTGTTAATGCAACTATATAATCAGACAAGCATATGATGCATGTAGACAAGGTCAAGACAACCTATTGAAGTTTAAGCTGAGCATCAGAATGAGGAAGAAAGGTGACTTAGGAGAAGTGTGGTGAATGGTTCCTGAAATCATCTGAAACTGGTTTCTTCAACGTGACAATTAGTTCACTGCACTCAAAAAGCCTCCACAGTCAGCATAACGCAATCATGGATCTAAATCTAAACAAACAGCAGAATCTGTCTGATGCCATCATGCTGATATGGACCAAAACCTGTAAGGAATGTTTCCAGCACCTTGCTGAACCAATACCACAAAGAATTAAAGTAGGGACTACCAAGTGGCCAGTGAGTGTATATATCGGACACTTTAATGAAATATTTTTGCTTTTCACCATTTAATTTAACAAAAATGTAAAATAATTTTTGGGATCCTATATAAAACTCCCCAGAACTGTTAAATTATAGTTTAACAGCTTTAAAGATGCTTCCTGGCATGGGATTAAGTGATACATACCTATATAGCTCTCATTTTTCAAGATAAGATATCTGTTAAGCTGGTGAATCTGATTTTTGCTCTACTTCAACATAAATCATGCTCTGACAATTTGCCCTCTCATGTTTACTGTCGCCAAAAAGCTACTTTCCAGGAACCTGCTGTACACATCTCACAGTAAATGAAACTGAATGTCAACCTTTAGAAGCGTCCAACTTTGGCAGCAGATAAGAATCCAATAGTTAGAGATGGGAATCGAGAACTAGTTTGAGATGGTACAATCCATCAAAATCATGCCTCCAATGTTATCAGTTCTATTTATCAATGCTGACATGCTATTTTTGATCTACTGCAAGACCGTGACGTCAAGCTCATAGCACTGACTCACATGCAGGTCTACAGATATCTGTTTACTCAGGTATTTGAATTTTGTTTCAGTTGAGCTTTTATGCAGTGTACATTATCTTTAAATTAATATAAAGCTCCTAACTTTGTTCAATTATTGTGCCGATTTTTGCTGAAGAAAAAAAAAAAAAAAGACGCAATTTCAGCAATTTAAAACCTCGTGTAATCTCTTGAATGTATTTTGTGATTCTTCTATAATTTCATTCTAATCTTAATTCCATCTACAGCCATATCCACAAATGAGAACAAATATTTTGCAATTTGATGTTTCAGATTAAGGCCTCCAAAAAAAAAAAAAGAAACAAAAAGAAA